AACAATGTTGAAATGGAGAAAGGGAGACTTACTAATAATTTATTAAAGAGCAGGGTAAGTAGAGCAGTAAGGCAGAATGGAGACTATGGAGGCCTTTAAAGAGAGAGCAGAAATGGAGGGTATGGATAGTAGACTCCTTTCACCAAGGTACTAAGAACAAATTAGTTTTTCTGTTTTCTGTCATTTTTTTTTTCTTGGTGGTTCTTGGGCCGGTTTGGAGTTTATTTGCTAAAGTTCCTTGGTGCTAGTTTACAAGGCAAAACCAACCAAACAACACAATTGGAATAATAATTATAATTTTTTTAAAAACACGGTCAACAACTTTCAGTCATTTCTTTATATGTTGTATTTTGACAAATCATTTCTTAAACAAATACAAAATAATCTAAAAGGAGAAAAAGCTATACATGGACTTTTTACACCGCTGATAAACAGACAGTACTGATCCAGGAGCGTTTCTGTCCAGGAATCCTTAGGAGACCCTGGCGAAGCACGGGCCTGCTGGGGCTCTGGCGCCAGCTGTACTGCTGGCCCTTGGGCCCACACGGCCTGCTTCTGTGCTCAGTTCTCCAGCGGGGAGTTCTTCATCACTGTCCCCTTCACAAGCCCCCCAAAATGCCTGAAGCCTCTCCAAATGGGATCTGTGGGAGGAAACCCGCCCCTCCGCAGAGATGCTTTCCAGAGATGCTCATCTACCTCACGAGGTCAGAGGAGCCAGAGCCTGGCCATGGCTCCGCTGCCTGACTGAAGGCACAGCGCCTGCCACCCCGGCCTGGGCATGCCACCTGCTCTACCTGGCCGCACCTGCCTCACCAGGCTGAGCGCTGCAGCTGCCCTGAGAGTCTCGGAGAGAAGGTGGGAGAATGCCGAGCTTCATAGCTCCCTTCGCACCACTGGGCCTGAGCTGGGCCGGCAGAGCTGCTGCTCATCCATTCCTGAGTTTCTCTGTTCTTTAGGTAGCTGGGCTCCTTAAAGCCTTTGATTTTGTTTGATGCTGGCATTACTGAGAGGAAAACTCTAAGCCCAAGGATGCTCTTGGTGAAGCATTTAAGGGAGGCTCTGAGGTCTAAGGCTCTTTCCAGGAACAGGCCTATTCTGGCCCCATGAGGTGTTAATGGTTTCCTACTCATCAATGTTTCATTTTTAGTATTTTCAATGCAACTTCAAAATTATTTATGCTAATGATTGCCCCAAATCCAATAATGACAATAAACCAAAATACCCACTCCAAGCAAATCCTCTACTCCAAATATTTCATAGTCTTTTACATTCCTCAAATGAGAGCTGATTACTTGCTTAAAATCTGCACACAGTACAGATCCCATAACGGGAAATGGCTTGAAGCATCCTAATGGACTTGGGTTTCTTAATCTATTTTTAAAGCTATTATCAGTAACTCTTCCCGAGGATGAGGTGGAGGGCTGTTTAATATATCAATGGTTTATTTTCTTCTCGCCTGAGAATATGTCAGTTGGTGTGGCAGAGTTGCAGAAAGAACAATGCAAGTGTCACCACCCTATGGCATCTTTCCAGAGCTCCCAGTCTTTGCTCTGTGTGCCTACTATACACCAACACATATTCTGCTACAATGCTGCATTCATTTTTATGCTAGGCTTCTGAACTGGGCTGAAGGCTCCTTGAAGACCTTTTGCCTGTTTTCGCCTCTGCACAGCTGTGTCCTGGGTGTGGAATATGTTACAGGCACAATAAATGGGAAATTCTAATACACTGTTGGTGGGAGTGTAAATGAGTACAACCATTATCAAGATATAATGACGGTCCTCCAAATGCTAGAAATACTACTACCATACAATCTAGCAATCTAAGTACTGGGTCTGTATCTAAAGGAAATACAATGAATAAATCCAATAGACACTTGTATTCCTATGTTTCCTGCAGCACTAGTTACAGTGGCTAAGACATGAAGACAATCCCGTTATCCATCAGCAGATAAGTCGATGGAGGAAAGGTATATATACAAAACAGAATACTATTCAGCCATCAAAGAACACTATCCAGCCATGAAAGACAACATGGATGAACCCACTGAATATTATCCTGAGTGAAATAAGGCAGGCACAGAAAGACAAAGACTTTGTGATCTCATTTCTATATGGAATCTAATGGAGCTGATCTCATAGAAGAATGGTAGAATGGTATTTACCAGAGGCTTGGGTGGTTGCAGGGAAGACAGACAGGGAAGTATGGATTAAATATATGATTATAATTAAATAGGAGGGGGGAAAAGCCCAGAAGAAGAAAATTTACAGAGATAAAATAGATGAGCTATTGCCAAAGGTCTTGTGTACAGTACAATTGGGAATGAAAATTAAGGAATGGTTAAGGACTTTCTTGGGTGATGAAAATGTCCTACAATTGTAAAGAAGTTTACACAAGTTGTTGCATATATTAAAAACTATTGAGCTATATAATTTAAATGGGTGTGTGAATTACGCCTTTTTGTATGTTTGCTGATCTTGGGGCTTGAACTCAAGGCCTGAGCATTGTCCTTTAACTTTTTCCCTCAAGGCTGGTCCTCTCCCACTTGAGCCATAATTCTACTTCCATCTTTTTGGTGGTTAATTGGAAATAACAGTCTCATGGACTTTCTTTCCTGGATTCTCAGATCTCAGCCTCCCAAGTAGCTAGGATTACAGACTTGAGGCACTGGCTCTCAGACGAACTGTCTTTTAATAAAGCTGTTAAAAGAGCTGGGAATATGGCTTTAGTGGTAGACTGTTTGCCTACCATGCTTAAAGCCCTGGGTTCAATTCCTCATTACTACATAAATAGAAAAAGCCAGAAGTGGTGCTGTGGCTCAAGTGGTAGAGTGTTAGCCTTGAGCAAAAAGTAGCTCAGAGACAGTGCTCAGGCCCTGAGTCCAAGCCCCAAGACTGGCAAAAAAATAAATAAACAAAGCTGTTAAAAATAAGCACAGAATTAGTGATTAAGTATCAAATGAAATCAAGATTTTCCCTTTTTTGGACATAGGATCTTATTATGTAACTGAGGTTAGATTGGAACGTGGGATCTACCTGCTTCAGGCTCTGAGTGCTAGAATTTGATAAGATTTTTGAATACTTTTAAAAAGCACTTCAAAAATAAATGTTTATTTCAAAAACTATTTAAATAAAACAAAAGACCGGACTGTACCTGAAATACAGTAGGTACTCAGTAACTTTTTTGTATGAGTATCACAATATAACTCTGGAAGTAAAGAAAGCCACAGAATAAACAGTAGCCATTCTTTTTCTTTCTCTCATCCATAGGGGAACTCTCACTTGTTCATTGCTTAGAACTCTACCACCTAAGCCACACCTTCAACCACCCCCCCCCCAACAGTGGTCTCTCTTTAGGTGCAGTTGCTTCAAGTGTTCAGAAGCTGTTCAAACAAAAGGTGAAATCCTCAAATCACTGTCCATGCTTCAAATACTTACTGATGGTAAAAAAAAATAATTGGAGAGATTGTCTCACCAAGTTTTATGTTATCTTTCCACTGGTTTTAGGGAAGCCTTGCAGAAAAAGTCTGAAAAGTTGTGGGTACATTTTGTGATTTTTGTTTTGCATCTTTGTATAAGAAGGTGAGCTATGAGTAAAGGGGAAAGACATCACGTGTTGACATCTGTAGAAGTTTAACTCTTTTTTTTTTTTGGGTCCGGTCGTGGGGCCTGAACTCTGGGCCTGGGCGCTGTCCCTCAGCTCTTCAGCTCAAGGCTAGCTAGCGCTCTACCACTTGAGCCACAGCGCCACTTCCGGCGTTTTTCTTATGTGGTGCTGAGGAATCGAGCCCAGGGCCTCGAGCATGCAAGGCAAGTGCTATACCACTGAGCCACCTTCCCAGCCCCAAGTTTAACTCTTTTTAAAAGTAACTTTCATATTATCTTTTCTGGGCTTCACCACTTCCCCTTGAGCAGAACAGAGCAGGAATGATCAACATCCTCTTTTTACAGATTAGGAAACTGAAATGACTAAATCTTATCTAAATCCCGATCTACTCTTCTGGGAACAAGGCAAGGAGATGCTATTATCAAAGAAAAATTGTTCTGACATAATGAAGTCTATTTTTTTCCTACCTTTTTTCTTTGTGTGGTACTGGGAAGCGAATATGGGGGGGGTCTTCAGCAAGCTAGGAATAGCTTTTAACAATGAGACACAATCTTCCATCTCTCAGAATGGCGTCATTATACAAAGCTACCACAAGCAGTTATGAGTAGGAGTCATGAATTGAAATAGGAGAAAGAAACTAAGCTCAACTCACAAAACAGTAAATACATCTGGGGATTTGTAGCCAAGGGAAAAACGAGTGAAAGGAGTCAATAGATGGAAAATTACCAAGAGGAAATTACTAGGAGGGTAGGGGGATTCTGGCTAAAGGCTGGCTAGATTTATTTACACACTAAAGGTGCGAGGATGAGAAATCTGTTGATATTAACAGATCAGATTATCAAGGTCAGATGACTTGGCAGGATTCTGGCTAAGCCTGACTTCAGCTGGGGCAGACTGCCCCAAATAGAGGCCAAATACAAAAGAGGGACGAGAAGCGCCTAACTTAATAGTTTGGGTCATGAGAAGAGCTGTCACTCGGCCCAGTCAGACCTCCTTATTACTCATCCCCGAACAAGAAGAGTGAGGAGGTGGGCAGCACGGCTCTGGGATTGTGGGTAGGGAGGCTTGCTCCCCTTTAAACGCAGCGTTGCCCAGCAGCAGGGGTTAAGTAGGCCGAGTTCGACGACCACCAGAGGAACGTGCGTCGGAGCAAAAGCTCCCCACCACGCACCACGCTCCGCCCCTCCAGCGGCACCCAACCTCGGGGCGGGCTCTGCAGGTCGGAGGGGCGGGGCCGTCGGTCCTGATTGGGGGGGTGCATCGGCCCTGATTGGCGGTCGGTCCCGGCCAGGGGTTTCCCCGGCTCCGCCCCCCGCCGCCGCGGCCGTCGCCGCCGCCGCTCCGCAGCCCGCGAGGCCGAGCTCTGGCGGATCCCGAGCTGCCCGGCGGGAGGGGCCCGCGCTGCGTTCCTCCCTCTACCGGTCCTCATCTTTAAAGCACGAGTCCACACGCTCCGCCTGTTGGACAGGGTGCTGAGCACCGGAGAGGGAGCAGCTGTAGCAGGCCAGGGCCGACCCGGGAGGGCCTGAGGCGACAGGGCTGCCGCGGCTGGCACGCCGGCGCCTCAGCCCCGCTCGAGTGCGTGCGGGAGCTGTGAGGGGAGGGGTCCCGGGAGCCATTGTTGGTGGTCAGAGCGCCTCCTGGCCCCAAGTCCGCCCTCTCGGACCGAGAGGAGCAGTCGCCCGCCCCTGGACCCGGGCTTGAGACTCGGGTACCTCCAGCCGCCTGCCCGCCGCGCCGTCCGCCGCCCGCAGCCCAGGTGGAGACCATGTTTGACAAGACGCGGCTGCCGTACGTGGCCCTCGATGTGCTCTGCGTGTTGCTGGGTACGTAGGCGCCGCGGGCCCGAGGGGCGTGCGTGCGCGCGGGCCTGGGTGGGCGGGGTGGGAGGG